TGCCTCATCATCCTCACTGTAAAAGATTTTTTCCTTATATCCAGCCTAAACCTCTCCTCTTTAAGCTTGAAGCTATTTCCCCTTGTTCTATCACCACAGACCCTACTAAAGACTCTGTCCCCTTCTTCCTGCAGCTTCCCTTTAAATACTGAAAGGCTACTATCAGGTCACCTCGGAGCTTTCCTTTCCCTAGCTTGAACAGCCCCAGCTCTCTCAGCCTGTCAAGTATCTGAATGCCTCTGCATAAACTCAAGCCAATCTTTTAAATTTACGCATGCAGCTGACTTTGTACAAAACTTGTTCAGCTCAATGGGAACCCAAGACTCTCCTGTTTCATAGAGAAACATGACTGAATTAGCCTGGATTTCTCCTTCACAGTTCAACTGGTAAGGGAAAAGAAAATATGATTTTTAAAGTGCACTAATAACATATCTATGAATTGAACATTTATATAAAGCCAGTTAAACTGTATCTTACAATACAAACGATGTAAAGAAAACTCCTGTCCAATTGTTTACAGCAAATTAGTGATCTGAGAGTCTACATCTGACTTTAAATGGAGATTGGGTACCATCAAAATACAAGAGAAAATCTGGACTCTTGAGCCAACAGACCTTCAGTGACATTATTGTCATAGTATTTCTAGGGCCTGCTTCATCTACACTATTAGTACTGAGAAACGTGAGAATCACAGAATGGCCTGGGTTGAAAAGGACCATAAAGATCACTGAGTTTCAACCCCCTGCTATGTGCAGGGTCACCAACCACCAGACCAGGCTGCCCAGAGCCACATCCAGCCTGGCCTTGAATGCCTCCAGGGATGGGGCATCCACAGCCTCCTTGGGCAACCTGTTCCACTGTCACCACCCTCTGTGTGAAAAACTTCCTCTTCATATCTAGCCTAAACCATACCATGAAGCCAATAATTTTCAAGGATAGCCACAACCCATAAGACTTATTCCAGAAAAACTATAGTACCTAGACTTCAACTGCCAAAACTGTGGTCACCGCACATATCCTGTGGGCACACACAACCACAGAGATGGGGGAGATTGAGAAGTATTGTGAAAGAGAAATGTGCTGTAGGGATTTAGGTTTTGGGCAATTAATAGTATTATTGTTTCGAAAGTGCAAGCACTTTTTACAGACACACAACTGTTGCAAGAAGTTAGCCTTAGAGAAAAAAAGGAAGGTGACCTCTGAAATGACACTAGCATTTATCTTATAAACAACACTTGAAAAAGGAAACTGCAAAATCCAACGCGTGCAAATTTAGTATATTTCATAAGAAAAAAAAACAAACTGAGTATGCACCATTTCATCTAACTTTTCTGCATCAGAACGCATCTTTGACATCAGAAATAAAAGGAAGAATAGAAAAAACTTTTTTTTCTGGTGAACTGGCAGGATCTCTCTGCTCACTCCCCCCCAGAGACAAGTGTTATTATGGGTAGTCATCTTCTATGCTGATCAAAATGTCGTACTGATACTCCAAAATAAGTTGACAAACTCCAGTTTCAATTGCAAAAAAGCCTTTAAGATCAGATATTAGAAACTAATCTCTCCTATACAAATGGTGCCTGCTCTGCCAAGAACGCAACCACCTCCACCTCCTGCACACACTTGTAGCCCTCCAGACAAGCACTGTAGACAGGAGATCAGCTCTGCATCTACACACACATCCCAAAACTACTTTTTTTTTCCATACAATCATAGAATTACAGAATGGCCTGGGTTGAAAAGGACCTCAATGATCATTGAGTTTCAACCCCCTGCTATGTGCAGGTCGCCAACCACCAGACCAGGCTGCCCAGAGCCACATCCAGCCTGGCCTTGAATGCCTCCAGGGTTGGGGCATCCACAGCCTCCTTGGGCAACCTGTTCCAGTGTGTCACCTCCATCTGTGTGAAAAACTTCCTCCTCATATCTAACCTAAACCTCCTCTGTCTCAGTTTAAAACCATTTCCCTTTTTCCTATCACTATCCACCCTTTTGAACAGCCATTTTTGTATGAAGGATTGGGAAACAGAGTCAGGAATTCTAATTGCCAGTTGCAATATATCAGGACTTACCTACAGCAACAATATCATTCAGAAATAATCAGTGGAATCTGGTACACTATTCTTTAATTTCAGAAAGAATGCTCTTTAATGCAGGGCAACTTCTGGCACATAGCATACTGAAATTTTTACCTCACAGGAAAGTTTTATGCATACAAATAGTGTATCATTAGACCTCAAACTAGACCAAAGTTCTAATTGTCTCCTCTACCAGCCAATTTCATGCTATGCAAGTAAAAACAAAACCAACTCTGGGAGTAGGGGCCATTTCAAGTTCAGCAGCTGCATTAAATACAATAGCAACAAGCATTCAACATTCCTAGCCTACTACAGGGGCAGAAACTATTCTGGCTTTATTTTAATGGTAAAAAAAATTCTCATCACTTTTAGTTCCATGCAGATTAATTTCTGAGACATCCCTGCCTGAAATGCATACTACAAACAAATCCTCCCGCTTGAGATTTATTCTACTCCACCTATTACTACAGGCAGCATAAGCACGTGTTCAGTGCTGGTAACTCAATTATCATCTTCTTCCCTCTCCTCAAACCACTGCTGACACTTTCATTTCAATTCTTTGTTTTTCATTCCATACTACAAACAGAAATTCTTATTTACCCTGGTGTTATCCTCCCGAAAACTAAAATTACAATCTACGGTTACAGCACAGAGGCAGATCAGAAAAGGCTAGTTGGCATCATCATTCACAATTGCTAGATTCGCATTCTTTTCTGAATCCAAATCTAACCTAATTGCATGATTAGAGGTATTAATGAAAGAGTATGCAGATTTCCCACCAGCTAACTACAGCAGCAACAGACAGAACAGGCACTTTACTGTATCTTAATAGCCATTCCACTGAACAGGGATAGAAAGGAAAATTAAAGAAAAAAAAACCACAACTCCTCTGAAAACCAGCTTATCTTACTGTCTCCGGTTCCAGATATTACAGTGGGAACACCAGGACTGAAAGGATTAAGTGTGGTTTGAGAAGCAAGTGCAAAGAGCAACCCGCTTGGCTCAGATGAAGTCTGAGCCTAACACACTGGAGAAACTGTTCAGAAACAGTTCATCTGTACGAAACATGACCCCTGTAAGGCTGCCAAAACCAGTGAGGGCATACAAGTGCTAATCACGCGAGCTAAAATGGTCCAAGCTGATTGCCTAAACGTGGATGACCGCCTAGTCTAAATGTAAAGTTAATGAAAAGAAGGCAACTGTTCTCCTTACCAACAGGCAACCAGCACATCTTACCCCCACCACAGGCAAGTATAACTCCTGGCTGCTCCAGCTGGGAGCCTGAATGTAGCTGATATAAGGCTCCTCCTTCAATACCATACCCTCCTAATGGGGGCTTCGGAGAAGCAGTGTGCTCATTTCACAATGGGAAGAACTCAGCAATCAAAACTGCTGTGTTAGGAACTACGCTATATAAAAATACCATCCAGTTGTATGCATCGAGGGAGGTTACAGGTGACTAGAAAGAAAGGGCAGAATAAGATGAGGACCGAGTGTGCAATAACACTGCACAGCCCAACACTCTCCAGAGTCATCAACATGGACACTGAGAGTCTGTTTATCTGACTGAGGAGAAAATGCACGTATCTGAAATATATTTTTTGTTAAAATACTTAACTATCACCTTAAGCATATATTGCCAGTTATGAACAAGCAGTGTACCTTACAGCTATAGTGCAGGGTCAAAACATGCTGATTTGGAAGGGATCCATAAAGACCACTGAATCAAACTCCGGGCTCCACACAGCACCACCTAAAATCAAACCCTACGTCTGAAAGCATTGTTCAAATGTTCCTTGAACTCTGGCACTCGGGGCTGTGCCCACTGCCCTTCTCCTTTGGTGAAGAACCTTTTCCCGACATCTGATGGGGGAAAGAAGGGCAAGGGAAAAAAGACTGTTTCCCTGCCTTAAGGAGTACCACACCGTCACGTATGGGATGCCACTTATTTTCAAGGGGAAAAAGCATTCGTTCAACATCCACACAACCGGCTTCCTATCGCACCACCCGCACCGAACGAGAAAGCAGAGTTCAAAGCACCGCTTCCTACCAGCCGAACCATCGTTCCTTCCCAAATAACGGAGCGGCTGATTCAGAACAAAAAGGAAAACCCGTCCGTAAAAAAGTTACCGACGGCCAACGAGAAACGGACGGACCCCCGAACCCCGACGGCGCAGCGCCGTCCTCCTCCCGCGGTCCCGCCAGCAGCGCCGCGCTCCCTCGGTGCGTGCCCTCGCCGAGCCCCGCTCCGTGCGCGCGGAGGGACGCTGCCCCCGGTCTCCCCCCCCCCACCCTGAGGCGCGATGGCTGCCGTGTGACCGAGCCGCGTACGCCAACCGGCACCGCATCGCCCAGGCACCGCCGCAACGGAGAGAACAAATACAAAAAAAAAAAAAAAAAAAAAAAAGAGAGAAAGAGAGAGAGAAAGAGAGGCCAGCCCGAGGCCGGCGGGCAGCGGCCGCTCGGGGGGCTCCACGCACCGCGCTGGGGGCACGGAGGGCGGAGAGGGCGGCCGGGCGCGTGTCAGCCCGGCCGCAGCGGGCGGAGGCGCTGCGGGGCCGGGGGCGCCGCTGCTGCCCCCACCGCGAGGGAGGGTGCGAGCGCCGGCGGCCGTCGGCCCGAAGCGAGGCGGTACCCCTCAGCCCGTACCTCATATCTGCGCGGGCCGCCGGGCCCCGCTCACACCCATGGCGACGGCGGGGGGGATGGAGGAGCCGGAGCGGCGCCCGCCACCGCCTCCGCCAAGCGCACCATCCCCTCCCGCTGCCTCCTCAGCCGCCGTCTGGCGGGCGGCGAGGGGAGGAGCCCACACCGCGCTCGCCCTCCCAGCCGCCGTAGTGACGCGCGGCCGCGGCCCGCCGCCCGGCCCCGTGACGGGCAGGAGATCGCCGCCAATCAGAGGCTGCGAACGCCGCGCGGACTCCGCCTCCGCCGGCCAATCGGGTTCGCTCTCGCGCCCAAGGGGTCAGCGCGCGGCGAGGGAAGACGGGGGCGAGGGCGGCCGGGCCCGTTCCCCCCACAGCTCCAGTGGGACGCGCCCGAAAGGCGGGGAGAGGGGCGGGGCCGCGAGGAGGCGCGGCTTTGCGTTGCGGAATTAACTCAGCGCCTCTTCATTCTCCTTGCTGCTGGCTGGGTTGCGCAGGGCGCTGCGGCTCACGCCTTCTCCCCGCCGGAGGTGAGTGACAGCGCACCTAGCCAATCCCGTTTCCTCTTTCACGCCGAGCGCCCAATCGCGAACCCGCTTGCTTCGGCAGGGTGGAGCGTGAGGGCGTGACCCGCGCTCGCCGGAGGGCGCTGAGGTGGGAGCGCGGCGGAAGCAACGGTTCGTCATGGCAACGGCCGGGCGCGGGGCCCGAGCTGCCGGGCGCGGCCGAGCCCTTCGGCCCTGAGCCTCGGGTGGGGCTGCCGACCCCGGGTTGGGCTTCGGCTGTGCGTGGGGGACTGCCGCGTGCTGAAATACCGAGGGGAGTTTGGCGGCCCGAGGGGCGGGCGGGTACCCGGAGAAGGGCGCTTGGTGCTGCGGCTGCGGGTTGTGGCCGGGCGTTGGCGCGGCAACCGCGCTGCTCTGCGCTGACAGAAATGGCTGTGGTGGGTGCCAACGTGAGGCCGGGCTGTCTCCCCGTCTGTCCGTGCTCTCCTTCCCCACGGAGCTTGAAGTAAACCTGTCTTCAAAAAGATTCTTCTTCGTGGAGAGCAGTGTATGTTAGAGGAGCTGGGAGAGGAGAGCAAAAAGTTGAGATGTGATTCTTGTGTGGTTCCTGGTGTTCCTGCAGCAGTTTTATTTCCCTTTGCACTGCTTTTATCTGAGCTACTCTAACTGCCTGCCTTTCAGCCGGGTGGCACGCTCCCCATCCACTGCTGGGCTAACACATCATCCATTGCCTTCTGCAGTGCATCTCAGTCCCCAGCATTTGCTGCACTGTTGTCAACAACACTGATGTAATGCATTGTAGGTAACAGCTGAGGCGCTGGCACAGCTGCCCAGAGAAGCTGTGGTGCCCCATCCCTGGAGGGGCTCAAGGCCAGGTTGGATGGGGCCCTGGGCAGCCTGAGCTGGTGGGGAGCAGCTCTGCCTATGGCAGGGGTTGGGGCGGCATGGGCTTTGTGGCCCCTTCCAACCCAAGCCATTCTATGGTTCTGTGATTCTATCATGCTTTATCTCTTCATCAGTTCTAAAATTTTTTGTGAGACTCGTGTCTCTGTTGCTTGCAAACAATTGCTATTCTGGTTAGAAATCAATGTAAAGCCTTAGTTACTTATTTTCCCTGTACTTACTGCGTGATTACAGTTACTGTGTCTTTTTTCCAGGTCACCATGAAGGCCTTGTATTGTCAGCAGAATTCATCCGGAGAGGAAATGACCTTTATTTTCCAGGAAAGAGTGAGTTCTGATCATAACAGCACAATTAATCATTCAGTGGAAGAAGGGAGTGAAACTTAAAAAAAGAACCGGTGTTATCCTTGAGCAGACAGGCAGGTAAATGAAGGTAGGAAATAAGTATTTTACCATCATGATGCAGCACTTAGGAAAGGCTGTGCTACGTTTCTGCTTGCAGTTTTGCTGTTTGCATTTTAAAAACAGCTTTTTGGATTGCTGCAAAGCCAGAGTTCGTTTGTTTTATGCTCCCTTCTCTTGAGTAGATTTTCTGGTCACTGAAAAAGTAGAAATGTAGCTTGAGAGATTTACAATGTTCAAAGTGTCTCTGCTGTTAATTTTCTTTCTTTTAAGTTCTTTGCTCTTTTTAGGGACTGAAATTACAGTGCAGCCTTTCTCTTAGAAGCATTGATAGTTCTCCTCTGTCTAGCTAACCAATCTTCCTGCAACTTGAAAGAACAAAGAGACAACTACCTTTCTGTCACATCTAGTTGAAGCTATTGTGCTGACCAGTCTTTGTCAGTTTGATGTAAGCATTAATTGGATAAGTATACATGGAATTTGGTGGCGTAAGACTAAAACAGGATACTGGCACATGTATATTGATGCAGTATGAGTGTTTGAATGTAGAAAAAATGCTTCCATGGTTTTGAGGATGTGAACACATGGTTTTTAAACGAATCTCTTGCAGGCACAAAATAAATTGCTACAGATACCCATGTATATTTATGTAACATAGATAGCTAAGTATACCTATGAGCCATATGTCAAAATGAAACAACGTAATACTGATAAGAATCTTGCTTGAGTAGATGTAAATTCACAGTAACGAAGCATGTTTAATGAGTTGCTGGAAGAGAAGCATGCAGTAAGATGGCTGATTATCATACAGCAAGATGCATATTCAGAGAGCAATCTTAAATCCACTTACACTGATCATTAAATAGTGCTTTAGCTGAAAAGGTTTTTTCACCTCTCAGCAGCATATCTTTGGTCTCTTCCTTTTAATGATTCTAAGAGTTATGCAGTTATAAGATGACATACATCAGCTTACTTACCCAGCTGAGAACTAGTAATTTTTACAGATTAGTTTACACCTATGTGGTGGCTTCATGATTATTAGCTCCTACACTGAAGAGAAAAGGGAATAGACATAGATGCTGCCAACAGGCAAACCCAGCAGCTCTGGTATAGTCATAACTAAGCTAAATTAGTTCTTCAAACTGCAATCCTGTTATATTAGTTTTCTGTCCCCTTGCTTATTTTAAGCTCTTCAGATAGGAGCTAATTCTGCAGATATTATTTGTACTATGAGCAGTACTGTGGAATCCTGATCCCAAATAGAAATAAATTTTGGAAGAAATAAGAAGGAAAGCCAGTTGACTGAGGAAATGTTAATGGAACAGCAGCTGGGTAATGAGAAGACAGTAGTTAGGATGAGGAATTTAAATAGCAAAGTTCCTTAAATGTGCTTGGTCAAATTATAATATTGACATATTTAAGTTACAAAGTCATTAACAAGTTAACAGCATGAACATTTCATTGTCTCTTCTTGTTCCCAAGGATTGCATTCTTGTGATGTTTTCCTAAAGAAAAGCAATTTTACTATGTGCATTGTAACAGTACTTTGGTTCACTGACCCATATGCACCATATATACAATATATCCAAAAGAAAATGTGATCTTGAATTTACGTAAATTATATAAATCTGTTAGATTCTAAGTGTTGAGGTTTTGTGTTGTTTTTTTTAATCAGAAATGGAATACTCATGTAGTTCAGCAGTCTAATGGCTTGGCTGTTTTTTGGAACAAAGAATGAGAACCCACTTTGGTTTGTTTGAGGAGAAGGAGGTCAGTCTCACCAGCAAAATCCCTTCCAACTTTAAATGAACACCATGTGTTTAACTGAGCGGTGGTAAGGAAAAAGTGCAGCTCAGTATTTCTCTTCCTGAAGTTCCCCTTCACCTTGCTAAGCTTTGGAGAAGGGCAGCAGCTGTTTGATGGGAATGTTTTTTAAAAATAAATAAAAGAAAGCTTAAACACTTAGAAAGACGTCCTGTAGAAACAAAGCTGCAACAGCTTTCTGGTACGTGTTTTGCTTTCAGTTCCAACAGAAGTTTACATCACAGACTGCAGTCTGTGATGGAAATAGATGATTTTGCCTTCAGTAATTTACATAGCTTTTTAAAAACTGCACAAAGCAGCTCAGAACTCAGTGTAGCTAATTAAATGATTTAAATTAGCACTACTCAACTGCTTAAGATCAGTGCAGATCTCACTGCCAAAACCAAAAGTTGGGATAGTCAAGGAAGTTTTGTTAGACCTTCCTGTATATTAGGTGCCCATCATCTGTGGGATACAACACCAGTCCTTATTGGTGCAGTTTTATTGACATCATTGGGACTACTTGAACATTTACCTCAATATGATTGCCCAGTATCTCAGACACATGTCAAAATTATCTTAAAATTCTCTACCACACCCACAGCCTAGTTTTAAGATTATAAGTCTGCCTCTTTGTATTTGCTAGACAGGTAACTACATATTAAAATGGTTTGGGGTAAGAATCTGATATTTAACTTGCAGGGGAGAAAAAGCAAAAAAATAAATAAAATAGCTTCAGTATCAATGGAGAATTAGAAAGGTCTTATTCTCAGTTTGTAACAGTATTATACGTGTACTTGAAATGCTGTTGTAAATCCACTGTGGTATCAGTTTCTTTTTCATTGAATACAAATTATTGTTCTGACTAGGAAACAGTCTGAAACGAGGACTGTGGCAAAGTGTTTTTAAGAGCTTGAGAAGGATTCTACTGGCACGTTCATGTTACATTGTATGATGTATGTTTGTTTGTCCTAGGAAAACCTTCCTCCTACAGGAGACCATGATGTGAAAGTACAAGTTAGAGCCTGTGCACTGAGCTGGATAGATACAAAGGTATTTGCTTACTTTTTTTGTAAAAGCCAGAAGTGTTTACAGTTTCCGTTGGAGTTCTAAGCCTTAGCTGGTAACTGGCACAATTCCATGTGTGCCGTCTGAGGATATGGCTTTACTGCTGAGAAACAAGGGGTGGGATTGATGTGGTGTTCTTATACGTCTCTTTAAATAAAAGGCACCTGAATTTGTTTATTAATTTATGGAGAAAGATCACAGTTTTCATTTGAGTTCTTACAGTAAAACCCTTTTATCATCCTCTGCATACTGACTTCAAGTCCCAGTTTGCTTGTCAGCTGATGACTCTGTTTTTATTTTTTTTTTCCTTTATACGCTTCTAAATTTAAATGCAGAAATAAAGTTTTTAATATTAAATGAGGAATATGCGTGCTTCTTTTTTTGTTGTTTTTTAACCCTACTAATGTTTTGGTAGTGGCCCACTTTTCCTATTTCAAATCTCAAACACTTTAAGATCATAACAAACATGCAAATCTTGAGCTCTGGTGAGAAAGTTATAACCATTATTTTCATTTAGCTCCTGTCAGAAGTGAAATTGGAAAAGGAGCTTCTGCCTGTTGGTCGAGAAATTTCTGGAGTTGTATTGGAAGGTAAGTAGTACAATCTCCTTATGAGAGTATGGAGCAAGAATTAAAGCCTGTTAATTCGGGATAAGTAAATAGTGTTTGCACAGTACATCTTTAACAATAGGATCTACTATTTGTCTTGTTAATTAGACTTTCTTTAGATTAATAATGGTACTGCACAGAAAGAATGAACCAAACTGTAGTGCTTCATATCTGTTTGGAGCATTTAAAAAAAATGCACTGCAGCTCTCAAAAGAAAATATATTGAGATCTTAAGGTCTTAACTATGCATGCTGCAGCAACCTTTAAGTAATTAGTAAAAAGTATTTGTTGGAATAGTGAAGGCGTTCAGGAACTTCAGCAGTGATTCATTTGCATATCTATCTTTGATGTGTAGTTTAAAGACTGGATCTTTTAAATGTTTGTGTCTGCTTGCATCTAACTGGGAATGGGGTGCCAAAGAAAGGTTCATTTTCAGTATGTGCATATTCAATACAAAATGTACACTCTTCACTAGCATTAGGGTATCTTTAATTGTATGCACTAGTGTATGGGAATTGCTGAATCACAGCCTGAACCTCTGATTGATCACCTGAGGTGAGCAATGCGTCAGCCTTGGGAGCACAGGTGAAGGCAATTCACCTGTGCTGCAGGAAGGGGTGGAGCCTGGCTCCACCTCTTCTAGACTTATTTAAGACCTGGCTACCAGTGGGGAAGGATTCTCTTCTGGAGATCCACTCTGCTGGAGTTTTGTAGCGTGCCCAGGGTATGGGTAAGCATCCTATCTATTCTCTTTTTGTTATTGTAACCTGCTTTGCCTAACTCTCTTGTTTATTTTGTGATTATAACATCTTAATATTCATTGACTATATAGCTAGCAATAAGCAATGCTGTCAAATGCATACTTAATTTCAGCTGTAAATATTTACACTGGTACCTTCTTCCTTCTATTCATATATTCTTCGTGAGTTGGGAGAAAGGTGTCCTTCTTTCAGCCTGATGATGAAGTAGTAGGTAAGTCAACACTTATTTGCTTTATCAACTAATACAAATAATAATTGTTTTATAATGAATGGCTGAGGTTATAGTCATTGCTAAAGCTACAATTGAACGTGTATTTTCAAAGTTCTAACTGCTATCGTGTGAATCAGCTCCTGAAAATGAAGTTTTTAATCTGAAAGTATTCTCTTTGGGATGCTTTTTGGTTACTAGAGGCTGAAGTTCAGGTCTCCAGTTACTGTGATCTGTAGTAGTCCACTGAATCTTGAAGAATATACATTGGGCATGCGTATTCATGTATATAAAATATACGTACCAATTAGCCATGCAGAGTGAGTGTTCTAGAGGCAACTATCTGAATAAATAGACAATAATTAGTTTTTATAACACTACATTGATGTACGTAGGTTTCTCCAGAAGTAATGCCACCTATTTATTTCCATGGAAACTACAGCAGAGTACAATAACACTATTTGACAGAACAAACTGTCAGCTCTAAAACACTTTTTACACATACTTACCACCATCACCAATGCATTCTCTCCGTTGGTGAACAAGAACCCATATGCCATACTTGTGAAAATCTGCATCTACTGCTGGAACACACCACTCACCACAATGAGTTCCTGATTAGGTTAAAAAAAAAAAAAAAAATCACAAGCAGTCCTAACTTGAATATACAGGTAGGTTCAGTAGTTCTTGTGGATTTTCTGAGCTAACAAAAGTAATGCACACTCTCAGGTATTTTGCTAACATTTGAATAGAAACGCTAATTCAAGCTGCTTATTTTTTAGAATCTTTGTTTTTACTGCACATTAAAATACTTATTATTGCAGCTCATGGACGTGAATTTTTTCCTCACTTCCTTTACTTAAGATGGAGCCTGTGTTTTCTGAGCCTGCTAGGAGGTGGCTAGGATATTGTTATCAGAAAAGCCTATTAGATGGGCAAGTGTAGTCACTGTACTTTTGTGGTTTGATTTTGTTGTTGTTGTTGCTGAAAATGGACTTCCAAGTTGGTCATATGGGAGGTGTTTGGGGCTTTTCCTGTTAGAACTTTGGCAGAACTTTCTTATAATTGGCTTCAGATTTAGCAGAATTAGGGATTGTTGTTATTAATTTACCATAGTAAGTCTAATTCTAACAGGTTGGAAATAGTATTTCAATTATGGGATGCAGAAATGGCTTCACTGTCTCTATTAAAGCAGCACAATTATGGCGAAGCATTTTCAAGTCTTGTAACACAAATTACTTTGAACTATGAGTAGTGTCATTATTGTGAACAGCATTGCTCATTTGGTTAAGTAGCTGACTCACATATGCTTCATCTGTTAAATATTCTAAAATATTTGTTTCTATCACCTTTTGTGGTAGCTGAAAGAATGCAGTTTCAGTTAGTAATAAAGGAAAAAACAGCCCAGAAAACCTATCTGTGAATCTGCGAGAGCCAAGTGATTCAAGTGACAGTCTAAGTGACTGTGGGAAGGTGTTAAGGTTTTGTTTGTTTCTGTGGGTATTTTTCTTTTAATTTTTTTGTGAAATAAGACTTAATTCCATTCTTATTCAAATACAGATAAGTGGTTTGAACATCTGAGCTGTTTCAGTGTCAGTCTGACATTAAGGGAATGGAATCAGTCATGGAATCTATCCTGGGTTTGTGAGAAAAGCAGATTCATTTTGTCTGATTTATGTGTTTATCAAGTTGACTGTTGATTTTTTTTTTTTTTTTTTGTATTGCAAACTGAATGTTTGCAAGTGCAGCTACAGAAAAATTGAGATTACATTTCTGGAAAGAGGAAAACAAAGAAAAACAGCATTAAATATTTTTAGCCCTGAAAAAAAGGAAGGCCCTCTTCTTTGTTTTTAAACACTGCAGTCTCACAATGTTGCTTATCAAACAGCTGCTCATCCTTATGTATCCAATATAGATGTTGTGAAGATGAAACACAGGAGTGAAATATCTTTTCCTATAGTAAATCTTTTTTCTAACAAGTATGCTTCCCAGTTATTGCTGAGAGTTTATTTTTAATTAATAAATGAACAGATTTGGAAAAAAAAAAACATAGCTACTATCAAATGGTTTGGTTATCTCTGTACTTAATAACATCAAACTGTTCCAAACTATGCAGTTGTCAGAAACATATCTTTATCTAAATTGCATAAAAAAGCCTGTCCTATTGTCAAAGAGTACAGTCCTGCTATATGCTTCTGAGCTCATGAGAAATAAGGTGGTGATATTGTTCTTATTTATAGATCTACTCTTTTGTGTGGAAAATCATACTGTATTCACTGGAACTACCTGGTATGTTACATCTTTATACCTAAAATCATACCAAGTGTTTCTCAGTTTTGAAGTTTTTTTTAATCCTTCTTTGACCTTCCGGATGAGATTATTTATCTATATAATGTATTCTTTTTTCATAGCCTTATGCTTGGTTACAATAAACAGAGAGAACTCAGACCAGCCATTTTGAGATTCATTATTGACTTCTCAAAGTTAGTTGTTTTGTTGTTGCTTTTCTTTTCTCCCAGAATCTTTTTAGAAATCAGTTATGCCCTACTACTCATTAAAACAAGCACAGGAGAAAATAGAGCTACATCAGCTGTAACTATTTGCAGACATGAACCTAAATACAGTATATATCTGTTTAAATATTATGATGGTTAGTCAATTTGAGTGTCAGTTCTACATGCCTCATTACTGAATGAATAAATAAAGGCATGAAAGCCCTACACGGTGTTGAGTATTTCTGACAAATAAGGAGAAAAATCTGACCTTGTACTTGTGTCAAATGCTTGATGTGTATAGCATGCATAACATAAAGGTCTCTTCTTGATGCTGGAGCTTCTGGAAGCATTATTGAGGTATATTGAGTTAAGTGTGCAGTTATTTAAGAAGCCATATCTCTTTGCTCAGTGTAAGGGTCATATTTTTGTGCACAGTTCTAGAGACACTGGAATCAGCGTGAGTTGACAATGATGTGTAATGACTCCTTGGAGTCTGTAACATACATTATCTTCTAACACTTGAGCACATTTTGTACCTGATCTTTTGTATCTCTTGAGAAAAGGAATGTCTTCATGTATTATTTGGTTTGCATTTCCTGTTTTGAGGTTTAGAATACAAACTGTTTTAGGCGCCAAGGCTATTTTAATTTACTGTAAGGATATCCTTGTTAACATATGAAATAATATTGTATTAATCATCAAAATCTAGGTGCTTTAGGATAGAGGATGTATTTCTTAGGAACGTTATTCATAGATGTTAGCATCCTGTGTATTGCTTTAAACAGAGGATAACTAAGTTGTGAAAGTAAAATGGAATTGATAGTGATGTTGCAAAGAAAGTATGTTCTGAGATTCTTGCCCTTCTTGCATTACTTCTTAACAGCTCCTGAAGCTATCTACTTGAGGAGCTTTATTGTCATTTAATTAAAAAAAAAAACCTTGAGAGATTTAAAAATAGATACTGAGCCCATCCTTTTTGAGTGAAAGTTATGACAGTTTGGTGGAAATATCAGCCAGGTTTGCTGAGGATATCTAATGAAGTCCTTAGTTTAATCTAAATTAAGTGTAAGATTTGAATGGGGGAGGAAGGGGTTAGTACTAAGCATCTTACCCAGGAAAGAGGACACACAACTTCAGAAGACTGATTGGATGCCAGAAACTATTGCTTATGCACCTTCTTTATTGGGCAGTGGAAGGACTGTAGTAACTCTTCTTCTGTCCATTCTGTGTTTGCTTTCTGTCATCTTTGGATGTTTTTTACTTTCAATTCCTCTTCTGCATTCTAACTTTTTAAAACTTACTGTCATTCTCAATTGTTCTTCCTCTGCTCTTTTTTGGCCTTTTTTTTTTTTTAATTGCTCTTGCCAGTGGCATCCTTACCTCTGATTTTCCATCCTGATAACTGTAGCCATAGTGTGGCTTGATGTGCAATATGAGGGCCCAATTTTCTTTCCTGTTAGCCATGGCCTGGAGCAGAAGGCAGAGCGCTTATCAGAGTGAGAGCAACATGAAGTGTGTTCAAACATGACCTGACAAAAATTAGTAGTGCTTGTAGCAAAAAGCATTATGTCCCAATTCTTTATCTCCCTGACTTCAAAGTGCTGTTTGGAGTACCTCTGAAACAGTCTTGTGCTCTCTTCCCTATTGAGGTTACAGGCTCTTACCTTATCAAGTTCTCTTAAATTACTCTAAGTCTGAAAAGTGAATAATAGAACAACAGCCCAAGTGGAACCAACAGTTTCATTAGGAGTTTGTTTTGAATCATAGAATCACCAAGGTTGGAAGAGACCCACAGGATCACTCAGTCCAACCATCCACTGATCACCAATAGCTCTCACTAAGCCATGTCCTTCAACACAACGTCCAAATGTTCCTTGAACACCTCCAGGGTCGGTGTCTCCACCACCTCACTGGGCAGCCCATTTTGGTTATAGTGTATGTTTGAAATTAAATATGTTTAATCTTCTTTTTCCCAGGAATTTTGCCCCTGGATTCTGAAGAGTCTGGTCTTTGTGAAGTTGTTCTAGTTCATGAGCATTATTTGGGTATGTAATTTATATGTTTTGCTAATATATCTTACTGTACCTTTGGAATTCAGTTTAGCTTTTCTAATAGGGACCTAAGTAGTTTGAACTTCTAAGCACATTTTCTAGCAGCGTTCAGAGTGTCTTTATATATGGAACACTGAATTTAGGAATCTCTGTGTTTCTATCAACCACTTGCTGTGTTACTTTGAGCAAGCTACTCGTACTCAACTTTGTGTTGTATTTCTGACTGTCTACGATCTCAGTTTCTACAGTTAGAAGGAGACTCCTTTAAATTTGTTTATGCCAATACTAAATCCTTGTTTTACTGTTTAAAATATGATAAAAGATCATTTTCATGAGAATAATATACATGGGATAAACAATACTTGTTTGTGTTAAATTGCTTGGGAAAAAAGTCTTACAGACTGACTTGGGCAGTTTTTGCAAAGGAAGCTATGGACTATGGGGATGGAAAAGGGTTTGTTCCTTCTAATACTTAAAGGTCCAAATGTAGAGATCTTTGCTGTCTTATAACTATTTGCAATTGCTATGGGCTGAAAATGTTTGCCTTTTTCATTTGGTTTTTTTTCCTCCCCTTTTTTAACTGTCAGTGCTTTACTTTGCGCTAGGTAGAATTAACTGGCACAAAAGAGTTGGTGCTGATGATAATCCATAGAATTTTTTTCCCTGCCTGTGGATAAATGTTCTCAGGAGATTGCATTGCTTATGTTGTTACATAGCTCCCCTGGTTCAGACTTAACTGTCAGTTCTAAAGTGTTTGTAGAGGCAGATCAGACTTTTCAAGTCTTCCTTGCTAGTGCCTCAATAGGATGATGCTTGCCTGTTCATTTCTATGCCAGACTTTTGGCTGATCTGTGGTGATTTTCTCACTTACTGTCAAGCTCTCTGCTAAATCATATAAATTGCCTACGTTAAAAATGATGCTTGAACTTGGGATTTCTAGTTTACAAAGCTGTTCACTAGTTCTACCTCCTAGGTGTTAAAGTGTGTGGATAAAACAGGAAAATGCTTTTACCATCTCAAGTGAAATGTTGGGAATTTGTTGCTTTTTTTTCTGTGTCTGGTTTTATTTTCCTTTCTGCCATTTAGTTCATAAACCAGAAAAGGTTTGTTGGGTGGAAGCAGCGGGGACCGTTCGTGATGGTGTCCGAGCGTACACAGCTTTACACTACCTTTCACAAGTCTCTCCTGGAAAAAGTGTCCTTGTCATGGATGGAGCGAGTGTAGGTAACAACTGTGTAATAATAAGACAATTTCAGTACGGATGGCCTCTGCCATAGCAACTGTCTTATCACCAGAAACATTGGATTTTTTACAGCATACTGAGCTTATCAAACTCTCTTCTATTCCTGTCGGTGCCCTTAGCTTAAAGGATTAGTGGAAGGGCCCTCCTGCATGAGGTGCTGAGCCAAGAATATAATCTTTACGTGTTGTGTGGGCAGTGAGGAGGTAGTTCTTTTCTGCTGTTTTGCTTTGACATAGTTTTATGCTAAGCCTTCAGGTGAAACTGGGGGAAAGTGCCTTAAGTTTTCATTCCTATCCCACCAATGCTTTCTAACTTTCTTTAGATACAAATAATTTCATTTGCATTTCTGCAATCCTTACTGCTGGTGAGGATGTGGAGCTTGCCACAGCCGAGGTTTGTTAACGTGAATGCTGATGGAGCTGTTTTCTTGGTTGCACTTCTTCCTTCAACAGTCAAGTGAGTGCAAAGCTAGAAGTTACAATTGCAGTTACAGTACTTATATTTTTCAGCTATTTTGTTGAGGAGGAGACCCGGTTAGCTCCTAAATGTATTCATAGCTTTCCTGTCAAGGAAAATGATTCTTTGGCTTCATTTCAAACTGAGGCAGGTCTGTGAATATTCAAATTCTTGGTTCAGATTTTATTAAAGCTGTAAGTTCACTTTTAGATACTCTTCTGACTTCTCCCGACTGTCCTTGCAATATAGCTTTTCTTGAATTCTTGATGTAAATAAGCCCATCTGCTTCTTTGTTTGTTATTGTTTGTTTTGTCTCCAGCCATTTGGTACAATAGCTATTCAGTTAGCACAGCATAGAGGAGCTAAAGTAATATCTACGGCCTACAGTCTTGAAGATAAGCAGTACCTGGAGAGGCTTAGACCTGCTGTGGGTAAGCTGTGTTCTTCAGTACTAAAGTTTAAGCATACGGAGGACTTCCTGAAATTCTTTTACTCTGGAGGCCTATTTCAATAGCTGAAAACTGAAACAGATTTATAAATAGTCTAAATAGTTTTAAAACTTATTTTGTACTCTATACATATTTAAATCCTCTCTCAGGTGTACTTAATGGAATTTTTATTTTTAATTTAACTTTAATTCTCCATTACTCATCATCACGGTGATGACCGTCTCTGAGTACTTTCCATCTCACGTAGTGCTGACTTTAGTGCTGACTTTTGGCCTAGCTGCTCAAAAACCTTTTCACTTGATAAAATCATTGCTTGTGAACAAGAAGAAAGCATTGCTAGATCACAAGTATCACAGGCTGTGATCTATGTACCCGAACCAGAGTTCACGTCTGAACCAGAGTTCACATACAATTATATGCTTGAGATCAATTCTTAGTCAGACTCCAATTTCTTCTAGTAGCATTTTATCAAGCTGTGTGACAGCTGTTTCAAGTACTGTTGTAGCTGTAAAATGATGCATGTTTTACAGTAGTTGGATGCTCAAATGCTTTGTTGGCTGTTTATGAGGGTGGATAGTGATAGGACAAGGGGGAATGGTTTTAAACTGAGACGGGAGGTTTAGGTTAGATATTAGAAGGAAGTTTTTCACTCACAGGGTGGTGACACACTGCAACAGGTTGCCCAAGGAGGCTGTGGATGCCCCATCCCTGGAGGCATTGAAGGCCAGGCTGGATGTGGCTCTGTGCAGCCTGGTCTGGTGGTTGGCGACCTGCACATAGCAGGGGGTTGAAACTCAATGATCATTGTGGTCCTTTTCAACCCAGGCCATTCTGTGATTCTATGACTTTCTCATTTGTTAAAGGAGCTTTGCATTAAAGAAAAGACTTGCATTTACCCATGACTTCTATTTCTATCCTGATACTTCAGGTTTTCTCTTTTTCTCCTTCAAAATAAGAATACTACTTGAAATGTGGGAAAAGTCTCAGTAAAAGCTACCAGCATCTTCTCTGACCAACTTTTTGTATTCCAGTGCTGCAGAGTAGAGTAGAATATTTCTTTATCCAGATGTTTCTAAAATAAAGGGTGGCGTTACATTAGATACACTGATTCCAGATTAATTGTAGCCTGTGAAGTCTGCTATAAAGTGAACAAGATGTTAAAACTAGTTTCTGATGTTTCCTCTTCAAAATGCTGAGACTGCCACAGTATAATCAACAAGTTTAAATTCTTAAATGCATGATTTTTTTGGTCATTCAAAGAAGTATGCATAGAAGTAGTGGTGGCTGTTGTAAGGATGTTGTGATTTACGAGTAGTTTTGTGGAGTCAGTTACATCTGCATAAATTAGTCGTGTGAAAATGCATGTGAGTTAAGACAAGATCTGATTTCAAAAGATAATGCCAATTGTCTCTGACTCCGGTTCCTTTCTCTTTTGTTGTTTTGCTTAGCAAAATTATTTGCAGTCTTGGCTTTCCGAGTGGAGAATTATAGCTGTTCTCAAATCCCAGCTCTAGGTCTGAGTGACTTGCTAAAACCAGGCATTGCTGACACGCAGGTGCACTTCCTATTGTCCTTATGTTCTCCCTGCTGGCTCAAGAATCATAAGCTAGCAGAGCGATGAAATAAGCCAGACAGCTGTTCTTTAGACACTGAGAGAACAGAGTTGTTGTCAATTTGAATTCCTTTCTGGCTCCTGAGAACAGAACTGGCAGTGGAAGCACAGAGCCAACATAGTATGCATGTGCATTCTGGGGCTGCACGTTCACACACATCTGCACTGCTGGGGAGTGATTCACTTCCAGCCTACCAAGTGAGCATTTGGCTCTTCCTGTAGTAGCTTTGGAGTGCTGATAATGCAGCAGGAAGTGAAGTGCTGTGCAGAGGTTCTTGCACAACAAGGAGAAAGGCATTTTTTGCTGTCTGACCCTGATCTTCAGCAGGGTGCTGCCAAGTGTTGTGTTGGGAATGTAATTATTCCTTTTAGAACTCAGCAGATCTTGTGTATAGATTTTTTTTATATTTTGTATTTTTTTCAGTAATCTGTGGAGTAAATGTATTAACAGTACAAAAGGGGGGAAGTATGCTGATACCCGCATTTCAAACTAGAGACAAAATATTAAACAGTGTGATAAGTTAACATTAGAAAATAAAATATATATGTAAGAAATAATATAAATCCACACACGTGGATTGTAGAATGGCTTGGGTTGGAAGGGATCTCAAGGATCATGAAGCTCCAACCCCACTGCTGCAGGCAGGACCACCAACCTCCACATTTAATACTAGACCAGGCTGCCCAGGGCCCCATCCAATCTGGCCTTGAACACCTCCAGGGATGGGGCATCTACAACCTCTTTGGGCAGCCTGTGCCAGCACCTCACCGCTCCCTCTGTAAAGAATCACAGGGATCACATCACTGGATTTATACCTCCCTCTTTATAATTTGTGGGGTTTTTTTTGCCTTGTCTTGTATTTCAGTTTTGGGTTGGCTTTTTTGTTTTGTTTTATTCTAACCCAATATTGAGCTTTCAGTGAATTAATTCTTGGTAAGAACTCATCTGTGATTTCATGACTCTCAAGACTATGTTCAGCAAACCAAATAGCAGATCGCTGTGGCAGTTTTCAAAGTCTGTTGCAGAAATTCCTGGGTGAGAGTCAATTCTGGGAGGAAGCTGTGGAAATGCTGCTATTTCTACTTCTCATCAGCAGTGAAAGAAGAGAAACTGAAGCCTTTTTGCCAGTCAGAATGTTACTTTAGAGGTTGTGCAAATTGCAGAAGGAGAAACTGAACAAATTTGCAAATGTCTTATGAGAAATTTTGTCTAAATTAAGGAGCTGTAGGAAATGATATTATAACTTGACGCTCACAGTTTTACATAGTGCTCAAAATGCGGTAACAATTTCTTTCCACTGTCTGGGATTTATTTAAGTAACAAAACAATTTTTTTTGCTGAACAAAAATCAGAAAGTGGTCAAACGGATTAAACTATTGCCTTCCTTTTGACAGTCAGTCTTTGAGTCTAAGTCAAAATTATTCTCAAGAAGTGAAGCTATATTTGTATTTATTTATTTTTTTTTTACTACATTGAATTGCCTTCTTGAGAAAGTACCTCTAAACTATTAACTGAGAAAACTATTGTGTTGTCATATAGTCATCATAGAATCACAGAATGGCCTGGGTTGAAAAGGACCACAATGATCATTGAGTTTCAACCCCCTGCTATGTGCAGGGTCACCAACCACCAGACCGGGCTGCCCAGAGCCACATCCAGCCTGGCCTTGAATGCCTCCAGGGATGGGGCATCCACAGCCTCCTTGGGCAACCTGTTGCAGTGTGTCACCACCCTGTGAGTGAAAAACTTCCTTCTAATATCTAACCTAAACCTCCCGTCACAGTTTAAAACCATTCCCCCTTGTCCTATCACTATCCACCCTCATAAACAGCTGTTCCCCCTCCTGTTTATATGCTCCCTTCAAGTATTGGAAGGTTATGTTTTTTTGTTTGTTTTTAATTCGAATACAGGAAATGTTAGTATCAAATTACTATGAAGTTATGACCATGTCTGTCGGTTTTGGCCAGATAGTTTGATTGCAGTGAAAAATATTAAATGATCAAATTTGAATAGATCTTAGTGTTTGAATAGAGGGGGGAAGAGGAGTACTTTTTAATATTCTTCCTAATGATCAGTTTCTTGCAATTTTTCTTCTTTTCCTTGTCCCCATGCTTAAATTCAAGAAGGTATGCGGCAGCCTTTAGTGAGTAAGTGCTCTCTGCAAATTTGAGTTCAATCTATCATGCTTTGGAAATGAGCCTCTAAATTTCATTATTCCAGTTGTCATTTTGTCGAGAAGTCCTTGGCTTTATAGTTTCTGTAAAAGAAACTTAGCTTCTACTTCTCTGCCCTTGTTGTTCCTGATGCTTTCATTTCTTTTCATATCCATCTGTAAGTAAGGTATTGTTCATACCTGAGAAGAAAATATATTAGTGACTTTCAGATCAGGAATATCTCAAAAGGAGATGCAGAAACTTCTAGCTGTGTATTTATTTAATGACCCAGAGGGCCATTCTCTTTTTTTAAAAATAATGCATTAGATAATACCTTTAATCAGCTTATCCATGCCGTGAGATAGGTGATGATGCTACTAAGCATTATTTTATAAAGAAGATGGATATAATGAGATTAAAAATCTTGCTGGAATCATCAGAAAAGTCAAGTCAGCATCTCATTAGTGGCTGAGCTTATTGGGTTTTATGCATAACTTCTGATGCTGAAGATGAGACTGCATGTTGGGAAGCAATACTGAAGTCTGTTTATAAAAAAAAAAATAAAGTTTTACTTCTAGATCAAATTTAATCAATGTTGGGAAATCTTCATTCTGCTGTGAATCTAAACTGTGGTTTTCTTGTAATCAGCTGAATGTATTGCTTTGTTTAGCTCGGGTGATCGATGTGTCAAATGGAAAGATAGATGTGGCAGAAAGCTGCTTGGAAGAAACAGGTGGCCTGGGAGTGGATATTGTTATAGATGCTGGAGGTATGTAACTGAAGCGAACCTGGTCCTCAGAGTAGCATGAAGTGTTTTATTTCCAAGTAGTATATGTGGGAGTTACATCACCTCAAAACTTTGTGTCATCGCTTGATCGCATGTAATTTTATGTAGGTATCTTTACTCAGCAGACCTCCTTCAGAAAGATCCTTGTATTAGTGGAAGTATCTCGAAATATTAGAGATCAGTAAATTGGTCTGAAATGCTTCTTCTCTACTTAGAGCTGAAAAGAAGTGGTTGTTAGAAGTAGATCTGTGACATCATTGTTTACGCTACATTAGAGTTCATCTTTCTAAAAGTCGGAATAGCTGAGAAGTCTGAAATTGCTGTATCTGGCTGCAATAATTAAAGAACTTCTTAGTCCCACTGAAATATCTCAAAAGCAGATTGTATTGAATTTCCTGAATCTTCTGCTGTCTCTGATGGCCTCATGAGGCCAACAGTGGAACTGAATTCTAGTTCTGTTCCAGACAGCCGTCACATGGTGCATGCATTCAGAATATATTGCAACTCTTTTGTGTTTTAAGTCATGAGACTGAAACAACCCTAAGATGTTTGTTTTTCAGTTTGGAAAAAGATAAGCATTTCATTTTTGATGACGATTGTTTTCTTTTGAGCTTGAATGTCCTTCTGTCTTTCCAGTAAAACTGTATAGTGCTGAAGATGAATCAACTTCAAAATCACAGTTACTGCCTCATAAGCATGATATCATCACTCTTCTCGGTGTTGGGGGAAACTGGATAACAACAGAGAGAAATCTTCAGGTAAAGAGACCGTATCAATCAGGAGTTTTGTTTATACCGCAGTATGGCTACCAACTATTAAATGACATCAATTTTCACGTAAGAAGATTTTCATGGCCAGAAAATGAAAAGCATTTCAGTTTAGTAATGCTCTTTTTTTATTTTCCTTTGTGACAACTTTGGAACTCCCTTCTCTAATGTAATAAGTTAATAGCTTGGCTATTAACTATTGTCTGTTTGTTTTATAACCATAAATATAAATTAACCATTTAATCTTTATTTTTGTACAGGAAAATATAACTAATTGTGTATTTCTTCATTCTGTTTAAGCTGGATCCTCCAGACAGTCATTCCTTGTTTCTTAAAGGAGCCACAGTCTCCTTTCTGAATGAGGAGATATGGAGCTTGTCCAATGTAGAGCAGGGGAAGTATCTCTATATCCTTCTGATGATGATTGAGTAGTGACTGCTAAGGAATGGATGGAAATATAACAGATAAACTAATAAATCATCTTCTGTTCCCTTTTGTGACCTTAGGCCTCAGGTCAGTACAGAACAGCATACAATGTAACTACAGTGTAACCTTTGTATTTAAAGCTAGTCTATGTATACTTTCTAACTAGGAAGTAAAAAGTAATGGTGAAAGGCGAAAATGCATTCTGGAAATAATAGTGGTTTTGTTTGAGACTGAGCCAATTAAGTGAAGTTCTACAAGTTTTTATGTTGTACATAAAATATTTTGGACGTATGTATATTTTTTGTTGTGTTGAGTTGTATCACCTCTAAATCTTAATGCAATCAGATTAATTGTAAACGTTAAAATATTTTGACTTTGTAATCTCTCTCTTATCTGCAGTATTATGTGCATAACATTTAATTGAGGGAAGGTGTGGGTGTGGAAAGAGGTGTGCTGCCTTCATTTGCATTACCAGCATGTGGCCTTAAGGAGGTGGACCTGGAGCTTTTTGCTGACAGGACAGTGTTCAGTGGGTTGCTTCATGGAATGGTTGTGGCTTTAAGGACCCTCCCTTTTCTGCACTGCAGATTGAGATCTGCTGAATCACTTTTGCGGCTTAGCAGAACAGCAGAGGCAGGTGAGGATTAAGTCATTACGCTTGTCAAAGGACTGACTATACTGTGAGGAAGTCTTCCCCTCCTCCACTGAACTGTAAAGTAGATTAGGCAAGGTCAGGCACACTGAGGGATCTATTTATGGGGTATAAGTTATCAAACATAATGTTATCTTTTGGTACTTCTGTTGAACTTAAAGTAAGCTGACTAAAACATCTCTTTCTATTGTCTCCTCTAACAACCACAGTACGTTTTATCACTACTTCTTTAAAAGCTGCAAAGAAAAAGTCTGCTTTTCGATAGCTCTGTATCTTGTGGAATTCTTGACCCTAAGGCACTGACGCCTTACCTGAAGAAATCACAAGATGATCTTTTTAAAATGCCTTGAGCTTCAAATGTTGACCATTTTGCTCTTAAGATGAAAGAAGGAAGATTATTTTTTTCAGAGTTTCATGTAAGCGCTAAATACAAAATTGTCTGTTGCATCGCTCCAAATGTTATGCATTAGCACAGAGATTCCTTAAAGGTGCACAGTATTGCTCCAAGAATTTATAAGCTCTGTTACACACCTACCTTTGTTCTGTTGCAGTTTTTTTTGTCTCAAACTTCTGCATGAATGGGTAGTTTAATCAGTACCAAAGTCAGCTGTCTTCAGCGTGCACCAAATGTGCGGTTGCCATTCTGATTACTTAGTGCTGTGCTTTACTTTACATCCTACTTTGCCTTCTGTAACTTTGCTTTATCTTTTTTATAATTCTTCTTTTTTTCATTTCTACGAGCCAGGAAAGGTTATTCTGATATATCAACACTTGCATAGATCAGAACTGATGCTTGGAGTTGCAGTTCATTTTTGTTTTGTTTCACGTGAATAGTGGGCTCAACCCAACTGCTGAAAGAATTATCTGTAGATATGCTGTTACCTTGACAGAGCTCGTAGATACGCATCTTAGAAGATATAATGGAGAAATTATCAAGTGGTGTTTTCAGGTAAGAAACATGATTACTCTTCTTTTTTTATTGAGCCTAAGGAGTAGAAATCTCTTACCAGCATAGCAGATCTATGTTGATGTTGAGGAAAGGATGCCTCAAATTGCTTACATGGAACTGTTTGTGATCTGTTTATAATATATCAGGCTAAGCCTGGGGAAACTTGGTAAAACCTCTGATTTTGCTGATGGCAAAATTTAGAAGAGGCAGCACATTATTTTCTTGGTGAAGGAAGAGCATATATCTGGCTGCTCAGCAGTGTACCTGACTGAGAAATGGTGTTGACTGTAAAAGACAGTAGGTCTGATTGATATTCCTTTGTAAGAAGAGTGACAGCCTTATTAGATAGACCCATAATGAGGTGAGAATGAAAGATACTTTCTATTAATGTGGGCTAACAGTATTGCTGTAGAGCAAAAGCTTTCCCACCACCACCTTTTCCTCATAAGGAAGGATATATACTTATCTTCTGTTTCCTATTTGCTTTAGGGCTCTTTTATTCTTTTGTGAATCCAGGCAAAGCTGTGAAACATTCGTTGTGTTTAAGGAGTAAAGTTTACATAGTGAAAGTAAAGTCTATAGCAGTAGTCCTACAATGTTACTATTGATCTGAGCATGCTCAGCAGACCAGTCTGACATTCTGTTTCATTTTAGGCCTCAGCTGGATGAACCAATCCCATTGTATGAAGCCAAAGTTTCTATGGAAATAGTTCAGAAGAATCAAGCAAGAAAAAGACAAGTCATTCAGTTCTAACACACAAATTCCTGACTTCTACGCCCATGGAAGAGAAAGAAACGTAATGTATTTCAGAAGTAAATTAGTGTACACTTTCAAGTAATTCCATAACCAGAATTTAAAGATCTTCTGTACCTCAGCACAAAACGGTCTGTGAAGCTCCTGGGACTTGAGAGGTTTTTTGATCCAGTTGAGTAAAATGTTCCCATCAGCAACTTCTAAACAGATGGTCTTGACGCACAAATTTTGACTGCCCTCATTATAAATGTCAGTAACATCTACAGGCAATCTCCCTTGCTGCTGTTTTTCAACCATAAGAAATTAAAGGGGAAAAAAGAAATGCTGCTGGTGGCTTCTGTTTGGGTTTGTGTTTTTTTTTTTTTTTAGTTTTCCCTTCTGTCCCCTACCAAAGCACTGAATTGCTTTTATTTTTTGGCTGCATTAAGACTGAGCAGTGTCTGCAGTGTGCTGAAGGTTTTCAGTTATCTTTAAAATTGCTGCTATGTAGCTGAAAGGCAGGATGGGAAATCCATCAGGATTGGCAAGGATCCTAGAGGGGAGAGATGGTACTGAGAGCAGGAGTTCCCCCATTGCTAAAATGAAGAAAACCAGCAACCTGAAACAGCAAATCTGACTTAGTATCTACAGTCTGGGAGCTAATACAGTTGTGATTCTGAAGTTTGAGATAACATTACAGTAACAAGATATGTAAAGTATCTTTTTTCCTTCCCATGAGATCCTTGTATTCGGTGTACTTTAACTTCTCCTTTTTAACCTCAGTCCTATTCCTAGAACAGATTGGTAGGGAGGAACTGCTGTGATTTTCTTATGATGGTGGCTGCTGTTTTTCTCAAAGCATGTTGCTTTCTCCTCGCTTTTATTTAAGAGCACACTTCAGATGTGCTAGCCATAGCTGAAGTTGCCTGTGTTTAGGCTACAGCTGGATCAGATTCTGAAATAAATGCCTGTTCATTTAAGGCATTAAGCTGCCTAGTGCTGCTTGCAGTTGGCTGAGGTATTTCAGTTTTTTCTAATGTTCTTTGATAATGCTAGCTGTAGATTTAGATGTACGTGAACAAAATGGTTTAGTGGCTTGTGGTAGCAATGGTAATGGGAGGATGGTAGGACTAGATCTTATAGGTCCTTTCCAACCTTGTGATTCTATGATTCTATGAAAAGGGTTCTAAGGACTCCTAAGGCTCCAATGTCCATTGACAGATGTAAGCAGTTTTGAGTTGATAGCAAGATGGTGCAGCTCCTGGAGCTATAAAATAACCCAAGAAAGGCGCACACCTCAGTGCTAGCTGGGTGCCTAGCCGACAGCGCAACACGTCCTGAGGCCTCGCAGCATATCGGGATGAGAGCAGCGCCGGCAGAACTGAGCTCGGCCCTGAGCAGCCTGGCTTTCCCAGCTTTGTTGAGGATGCTTCCGCTCGGTGAGGCTCCAGCCCGGCTCGCCCTGATGCCGCGCGCCCCCCAGGGGCCGGAGGAAATGGCGGCCGCCACCACACCTCAGCGCCGCCCAGGGGCGGGGCCCGGCCCTGTTGGCGCCAAGCGGGGACGGCGGCTCCCGCCCGGCCGCTCCGCTCCCAGCCATGGCGGCCGCCGTGCCCGGCTACTCGCCGGGCTTCAAGAAGCCGCCGGCCACGCTGCGGCTGAAGCGCAAGCGGCCGCGGAGGAGCGAGCCCGCCGCCCCCCAGCCCTGCGGCGAGGCCCCGAGGGCCCCCTCCGCGCCCGTCCGCCGTAACCCCTTCTCCAGCCTGGACAACGCGCCGCGGCAGCCGGTCCGGCGGCAGCAGGAGGAGCCGGCACGGCCCGGCGGGGGGCCCGCCTCCACTGCGCCCTTCTGGCAGGTAGAGCTGCTCTGAATGGAAGGGGCTCGTGAGATTCTTCTGCAAAAGCCTTTCTTAACGTTGTCAACCTCATGGTTTTTTCCTTCAGTTTTTAGAATCTGCAGGAGAAGATAAGCCGGCCCGGAACGTGGGGCTCTCAGAGGGAACCGACGTCCTTGGGCTGCCCGAGGTACGGAGACTCGCTTAACGATTCTGAAACGCCTCTTGCTGCATTGACCTTGAGAAAAGCCCGAGCTGGTAACTGCTTAAAGAAGGGGACTGGCTCTTCAGTGGGGTGCCATGGGATAGGATGGGGAGATGGTTTCAAACTTAGAGGGGACATTTGGACTGAATATAAGGAAAAAGTCTTTTACAGTAAGGGTGGTGAGGCACTGGCACAGGTTGCCCAGAGAGGTGGTGGATGCTCTGTCCCTGGAGACACTCAAAGTCAGGCTGGACAGGGCTCTGAGCACCTGATGGAGCTGTGGGTGTTCCTGCTCATGACAGAGGAGCTGGACCAGATAGCCTTTAAAGCACCTTTAAAGATCAACTCAAGTCAAAAGGCTCTATGATTCTACGTACTTCACATTTGGCGGTACATCTTCAGATGTACTAAAATATCAGCATTCAAGAAAATTCCTTAAACTGCCTAAATAGGAAAGAGAGTAACAGTCCTTGGCAGAGCTTCAGGCTGAGGGTATCAGAGACTTTTATAGGTTCAGAAACTTGAGCTCAGAGTGAATTAGAACAGAAAAACCTCTTAGACCAAACCATCCTGGAACTCTCCACTTTTTGTTACCTTTTGGAAGCCTAAGTATGTGCTCCTAATTTAGTGCAAGTAGTTCCTTAGAATTAAAACTGTGCTGTTAAAGTGAGTTGGACAGAAACTTACAGGAAACAAAGATTTGCCTTCTCCTTGTGAAGACACTAGTTCCTTGTAACAGCCACTGTCCTGTCCAGGATCTGCTCTGCCTGCCAGGAGGGGTGTATTGAGGCAGCATGGGAGGAAGCCTGACCACGTGAAAATGTGCATAGGTAGCTACATCATTCGTTGTTTGGTTTTATTAATTGACTATGGATTAACTGATGTTTCAACTTTTAAAGGACCTTCATTTACCTGTTTCTACACCCGATGTCCCTACCTCACCAAGACATGAGTTTCCTGCAGACTGGAGCATCAAAACACGACTTCTGTTTATGTCTTCTCAACCTTTCACTTGGGCGGAGCATTTAAAAGCACAGGAAGAAGCTCAGGGATTTGCTCAGCATTGCAGAGCAGCAGAAATAAACTTGCCACAGAGTGTGCAGGTAATGAAACTTCAGAAGGGAGCTGAAAGCCACTGCTTTAGGAGGGGGAACCTTTGCACCTCTCCTTAATAAATGTACTGGCAGTGAAGATTTGCTTGTGTTTTGTTCTGGTCTTACTTGTATAGAGAATAAGGTTCATGTAGACAGCTATTTAATTCCATCCACTGTGTACTCCAAAATATAACCTGTGGCAAACTGGTGACTGAGTGGTTTGTTAATTTCAACTGTGAGCAGTTTCCAGTCACTGCCCATCTTCAGTCTGGCTTAATCACAAACCTGTGATATTATTTTTTAGCATCTAATGCAATATTTTTTTTTAATTCATCAATTGTGGTGCTGCCTTAAATAGACTATTTCTGTTCTCCTAAAATACGTTTTGTAATCTAGGAACCAAAACTGTCCACAGAACTGCGTTGTGCCTTCCAACAGAGCCTTGTTTACTGGCTTCACCCATCGCTGTCATGGCTGCAGCTGTTCCCTCGTATTGGAGCAGACAGAAAGATAGCAGGAAAGGCCTGTCCATGGGCACAGGATGAGGCCTTGCAGCAAGTGCTGATGAGCGATTGGTAAGTGGAGCCAAAGTGTAGGTAGTAAGATCAAGATCCTTTAAAATCAGCATTAAGTTCCTTCTGTTTTTATGAAAATGTTTGATTGGTTGTTTGATTATTTTAGCTGGTCTGCACTTACTTTGAGGATCAGGTTAAAAATTGCCTCTAAGACCAAAGCTACCTTTGTGTGTTTAATGACCCCCTCTGACTGCAGTTGTTGATTTGGATAGAATTCTGTGAATCCTGTTAGCAGGTTGCCTTTGATGCTCCATGTAAATCTGCACATTGGATGGCAAGTATGTGAGAAAAGCATAGTACTTGCAAATAGGCTGTGCTTCAGAGGAGTTCAGAGCAACTTCCTGGATGCTGAGTGCATGTGAAAATCAGACTAGTCACTCACTGGTCTCAAGCCTGGCCCAAGCACACATCAGTAATCCAGCTTGATCCATCAGCAGCAAAAAAATTCAATTATAATTTTTTTTTCCCTCATTTACAGGTCTGTCAGCTTCACTTCTCTATACAATCTGCTCAAAGCCAAGCTGTGCCCCTACTTTTATGTGTGCACTTACCAGTTTACTGTCCTGTTCCGTGCAGCTGGTCTGGCGGGAAGTGATGTTATCACAGCAGTGATTTCTCCCACCACCAGAGGTTTAAGGGAAGCCATGAGAAATGAAGGTGAGGTGAAACCACTCTGACTTTAAATTTTATAACCAATACATTGCATTTGCTCTGCATTCCAAAACCACTCATTGCTTTCTTTCCTCTTCTGTTCAAGGCATAGAGTTTTCTCTACCTTTGGTAGAAGAAAGTAGAAGCAGAAAACAGAAAAACTCTGAAGGGAATTTGGAAACAGAAGTTGCTCACGGCCCTGAAGTGGGCAGAAGCCCTGAGAATGGCGAGTATGTCATAAATCTAAAGTGCTGCAGTTCTGAGGCATTTCTGGACTCCTGTACATTCCGTTTGAAAAGTTCTTAGAAAGTTTTATCCTCCTAAAAGTGATTCTGTGTTTCTCAGGGAAGCTGCTCCAAGTGATGATGATGATGATGGTTTCTCTTGGCTTGAGGAGATGGGAGTCCAAGACAAGGTTAAAAAACCGGATGCTATTTCTATTAAACTGTATCCTTTCTTTTTGTCTCACCACTTACTGCAGTGGAAAGCCCTGCAGCTGTTGCCTTTTGGTGAGTCCAAGAATATCCTTCCAACTTCTGAGACTTACCCTGTACCAGTGCACCGTAAGTGGGGGAATCAGGGGAATCCCTTCAAAAGCAGACTCCTGCTCTAAACTGAACTGCTAATGTTTTTATGTTTTGATGCAAGATTCATAGTAAAAGTAGGAGTTGCGAACTTTGTTTTTATAACTGCTACCTGCCAGCTGTAAGACATTGGACCTGGAAAACATTCCTTCTCACAGCTTTAATAATGAAATCAGTCAGGTATAAGATGCTGCCAGATAATTGATGTAAGGAATCCGGATGAGCTCAAGGCTTGTTTGTTTGTTTTTTTTGGAGAGATTATTTTATTTGCTTTAATGTCTTGACTGGTCAAAGGTGGAGGGGCAGTGGGGTTTCTTCCGGAGTTGCTTCTTAAATTTTTCCCTTGACTTCAGTCAATTCAGTCGTAAAGAGAAACATGAAGTGCAGGTGGATCACAGACCTGAATCCCTTGCAGTGGTGAAAGGAACAAACACATTCACTTTATTGAACTTCCTGATAAACTGTAAGAGCCTGGTGGCTGTTGCAGGTCCACAGGCAGGGCTTCCTCCTACTCTATTGTCTCCTGTTGCTTTCCGAGGTGGAACAATGCAAACGCTCAAAGTAAGTAATGCAGCAATCTCTTTTCCTGTAATAAAAGGAAAGCTGTACTTCTTCTGCTACAGCAGAGTGACTTTTGATGCTGGCATTTTGTCTGCAATATGGACTTCCTCCAGTCCTATTTACCCACGTAACCTGTGCTGCTAAACTGAAATCCCACTATTTCTACCAATCCTGATAGCTGTTAAGTAGGTAGTTCCCAGACAGTAAAAATGTTCTTAGAAGATTCACCTTTGAATGCTACTGAGATCATACAGGGTCTACTGAGATCATATTTCAGTGGACAATGAGAGCTTCTGACCTGTAACTGTGGGAGGTGGTGGGCACTAAATGTTATGCTGCCTGTGCAGATAGCACAGTCCTCTGCCACTGGAGAAGCTGCTCATGTGGCATGCATCAAAGTTCTTTTGCAGATGATTTTCCTAATACTGTAAAATACTCCTGTGTATTGTAGTTTTAGGAGTTGTTAGAGGTGCTAAAAAGGTAATACTCTTATGTAGTGAAGTTGACAGTGTTTTAAAATGTTTTCAGCTTTTCATGGAATTGTGGCACTGCAGTATGAAGGTGTATGAACAACAATCTTGGCTTCAAAATGCAATCCTGTGTGCTGTTGGTTTCAGGCTCGTAGTATGAATGCAAAAGCCAGAGTCCGCCTGGCATATGAAGATATCTTCAGTTTGGAGATCGTAGGCCCTGTCCTGCCTCATTCTCTCCACTTGCTGACCATGCTGCTGCAGTCTGCACAGCAGGGAGCATTTTCAGCAGTGCTGTATACACATGAGCCAACAGCTGTGTTCAATGCTGATCTCAGTAATGCAAGCCCTGCCTTAAAGAAGGTAAGTAAACTAGAAAAGACAGTCTTCCCTATTAGGAACACTATCTTTATTACAAACCATTAGGTGCTGAGTGATAAGCTACTTAATATGTGGGTTTATACCCCACTGTGATCACCATATGGCAGTCACTGTGGCTCATTATTCCCTCAGAAATGGGCTCATCAGAAAACTAGCTTAGTTCCCCAAAGATACATAAAAATGTCTGAAATAGCTGTTGTTTTCAACAAATGTGTATTTTGTGTTTCTTTTCTTCAGGAAACCATAAGCAAAGACCTGCTGAAGTGTGGCCTGCATTCTAAAACTTTGGATCAGCTGAGTCAGGTGCCAACACTGGGAAAATCTTCCCTCCGGTTTCTGGAAATGAAAGACTCTGCATATGCCTGGAAGTCTTAGGTATGTGCTATTTGGAGTCGGTGGAGCACAAAGCTCTCCAGTATGAAGTTGCTTCCTTCAGGCCTGCAGGGCACCACCTATGCTGTACAGGAGGAATGTAACCTAGTCAAACATCACTGCCAACTCTTGCACGTCACAGAAATAAAACACCTCAAGGGGCTTTTAGAGATGGGGCTTTTAGAGATTGAGGAAAAGGCCCTGGACATCTCCTTTTGTATTTTAGAAAGCATTTTTTAAAATAAAATTTTATAAAATGGTTTGCTTTTGCTTGATCTGAATTCAGTGTGGAAGGCCTGTATTTTTCATGTACATGTATACTCTATTCTAAAACACAGAATTGCTGCTACTGCTCAGAGCAGTAATGTGTAGCCACTTCTGAGGGGTGGAATTCTTCTCCTACCACCTCTGAGCCCTGCTTATAGCACCAAGCCAGAAGCCTGGCCTCTAAGTCTCATTACACCTCTTGGTTCAGGTGTAACTTTAACTCCAAAAACCAGAAATCAGATGGGTGTGAACAGTTCCAACTGCATCTGAATCAGATTAAGAGGTTGGGATTCCCCAGACCTGCTGATGTAGTTTTCCAACACTGCCATCTACATTTACTTATGTAAAATAAGATTTTTAACAGGCAGCTTATACAATGGGACATGCACCAGAACAAGTTAGAGCAACACAATATGGTTATGACACCTGATGGAAGTAGAGAAAATGAAAGGCAGCAAGGTGATGCTGCTCTGTTCATAGCAGGAGCCTATATTCAGGTTTAATGCAATCTCTTGCACTATTGCTGCTTTGAAGACATGTATAATGTCATTTATCACACAGCTATCAGGTAAGCTGATAGTAATAGTAAATCTGAAGAGCAGTAAGTAGAATAACATCATGCTTATGCACTCCAGCAAGATTTGTAGTTCTACTGGTGTTTTGCACAGGAAAGAACAATGCTTGTAGTCATGCCACCTTTATTTTCACTACAGTGGTGTCCTGTCATCATTCTGAAGCAGGGATAGTCTGCTTGATGGCACCTATAGACCTAACAACCCAGCTCTGTAAGCAAATCACTGCAGGCTGAGGCAGTTACATGAGTATTGTGTAGAGTTAGTGTTACTGCACAGTACCTACCATGATGCTGGCAGGGTCACAGTACGTGGAAGACCAGGGTATCTGGAAAACCTAAATACACCTCAATTTAAGTCCCTACCTTACAGTAAGAAAGGGCAGCTTTAGATCTTTAGATGCTGGAGAGAATCCAGCACCAATTCATGCCTGGCAGTTATTATACTTGACTTTCCTGTTTCTTCAGCCCACCATTTTAAAACTACCACTTAGTTGACTGTCTGGGACTTGTTCTGGTGGCTGCTGGCTCTACATTCTCAGGCACCTGTTTCAGAACACTCCGCACCACAGGGAAATCAGAAGCACTGTCAGTGAAAGCAGTTCTAGGAAAACAATCCCGCAGCAACAAAAGTCCAGCAGGCACAGAGATGCCTTCGTCTTCCAGGAGTCCATTCACTTTTGAGACAGCTGAAGTGCTCCATAAATAAACAGGTCCCAAGAGAGTGTTTCCTAGTTATTCTTTTTAATAGGACTACTCATCTATTCCTGCATGCAAAGGACACTCCAACCAAATTTACAAACTGAACAGAAGGACATCTCCGCACTAAATTCATTTATCATTCTAAACAACAGGAATGAAACTAAAACAGAAACTCCAAAGTCAAGAAGTGTCATAACTGAAGTATTACAGATATTAATATTTTAAGTATTGAAAATCAAAGGTTAGATCTACATACAGTACCACGTCTTTTAAGGCGTGAAATCCAGAATTTGCCTCAACAGTTACTTTTGAAATGGAGTCTTCTATGGGACTGAATTCATCTGTTCCTCAAAACATATCTTTCCAATATACACGGAGAATATAAACCCCGAAAGAACAAAATCAACAAAGTACAACAGATTATGTTCCAGATTTGATAATGAACAGATCCGAAACCTGTGCTTATATGGACACCACGGACGGAACAGTGCGAGCAACACTGCTGATGTTTTAGCTGTATCAGCAGACATTTGAACAGAAGCCTGAATAGGAGCTGCCTCCCACATCCTGAGTTAACAGCTTTGAGTCAGACATCAGAAAGCTGGACTTGCCTAAAGTGGATACAATCCCCAGCTCTCCCACAGTCAATCTTTCCATCGCTGTACCTTCTGCTTAGCTTTGTTTTTCAAATACACACCTTATAACTTGTTCAGAAAACGAGGCAAGGAGATCTTCAAACAATTTTACACAGAGACTGAAGATGAGAAGCCAAAGGGAGAAAACTTTAATTAGAGACAACTACGTCCACAAAAAAAAAAAAAACTTTGTCATTTCTAGAGTGTTTTGATAGACTAATAAAAGGATTTATTTCTTGGGTGTGGTAGAGAACACAGTACCATTTATCTGCTGTATGCAAAATGAGATGCTGGTACTTGTCCACTGAGGGCAAAGGAAGATACCTTGTTCAGTAACAGCTGAGAGAGTGCACACAAATAATTTACTCTGTGGAAGAAGAGCTACTAGTAATTCATCACCTCCAAGATCCTACTGCTGTTGCAAAAGTCGTTCACTTTAGGCCTGAGCACAGTCTTACTGCATACAAATTGTAATTTGTTCCTGTTCCCAATGAAGCTCTGGTCAGTTGATGTAATACAAAAAAAATCCTCAAAGACTTTTCGGAAATAAGCACCTGAACTACTACAGTAATAAAGTACTGCTGTAATCCTGGCAGTCTGCTCAAAACACAGACAAATCTGGCAAAAGATGTACAATGCCCTTTCCAATTCAAAGTGCACATAGCTAAAGTACTAATACTTCTTAAATTAAGAGGACAAAAAAAAAATAAGAGGAAAAGCTTCCTATATCCTTTCCCTTATCAAACTGCCATAACTCTGGATCACATTGCCTCCTTGAGGGCAGAGTACCATTACAGAAAATGTAAGCTCAAGGAATTCATTTGGTAATAGTCCAAAGCAAGTGAAGTTGCCTAGAACAGATTCTAATGGCTGTTGCTACTCTTGTTAAGCGATACGTTTGCACTGTGCGTTTCTTCACAAAGCTCTTCTGGCATAGATTTTAATTACTGCTTACTGACCAGTGATTAAGATTATGAACTTGTGCTGCTTTATTGACCAAGTTGGGTACAACAATTTAAGCATCATTCTATTCCCTCCCTCCCCCCAATCCAGTTGTAGATTTGTTAGACTTTAAAATTCACATTAACCACAAATCCATACAATCAACATCAGGCAGTGTGTTAATTTGTTTGGAATAGACAACTCCATCATCTCCCTTCTCAGAACATGCAGGGAGAGTCACTTTTACATCTCAAAGTCTCGCTGGTTCCATTGCTGGACTTTCTGCTGTCCTTTTTAAAGCAAGACTTTTGCCTCATCGCGTACGTCCTAGAATACGAGCTGCATGGCCAGCTGTGGTGCACCACCGAGTTAAACCCCAAACAAAACTCCAAGAGAAGCAGTGGCATTAGCACTGTACAACAGGGCTGCTACCACGGCTCACTCTCTCCCAGGGGTCACAGTACTGGCCCGGTATCTGCCCAGCAGTACACGCCGGCCTCAACTAGACTAAGGTAAGCTGCGTGGTCTTTTACCAGCTGTAGGCAAAAGTGCAAGAGTAGCTTTACCGAGACCAGGGAAAACTGCAGCATAGTACAAAACAGTATGAAAGTGTTAACATTCCATATTGAGGAGAAATCGCATGAGTTTTAAAACAAGGGTTTAGATTACTGATGCCTCCAGAGTCTGTCGTCTGATTTAGTCATTTAAGAAATAATTACATCACTAATGTAAACAATATAAACATACCAAAAACTAAGTATGATTTAAATACATTTTGATGGTACAAAAGAAAAACCTGAAGGTGTCTGTACAGTTTTTACAACGTGGGAATTGCCAATGTATTTACAACATGGAAGGGCAAATACCATTTTTGTGCAGAGTAAAATTATCTGAAATAATGTCAATATAAAAAACAATATCTAGCGGTGTGAGGCACTCCTAAACATGGTGGTATTGACCATGCTTTCCTTTGGTACAAGTCCCATCGCTTGGAGAGCCGCAGTTGCTGCTGTGGCTTTAGCATGCTTCTTATTAAGGCTGGCAAAAGTAGGCCTGTATTCATTTCCATTGACTCTCACCTGTTTGAGACGGATGGAAAAAGGACATGTTAGGAAGTGCCTCACGTCTAGCCTGTAAGAATCACCTCCAGATGGAAATCATTAACACAAGATATCACAACAGAAAAAAAACAGATCACATTCTAAGATACCTAAAAGTAAAAAACGACTGAGTCTTGCTCACTATCTTTACAATTGTATTTGCACCACACCTGCAAACAAGAAGCAAGAATATGATTCCACACAATTTAATCATTTTAGTAAGCCGTGGAATGGTATCACAGTTCCTTGATGGATTTGCAGATTAATGCGCTGGAGAGACCTGATATGGCTTTCACAGAAACAGGGCTCTGATACTTTAGCACTGAGACACTGCCCAGCATACCCCAGCCACCTCTGGAATACAGAAATATAAAGATGAATTTAATATCACACTTTAATAGGCAAGCCAATAGTAAACAAAGGAATTCAGACTCACCTTAAAGATGAAGTGTTTGCGATGATCAGGCCCACTATCATCCACCAACACAAACTCAGGTGGTGACCATCTTCTTTTGTTACAGATCTCCATCAACGCAGAAACTGGATGTTTGCCTTAAAGACAAAACGCATTTGAAATTTCAGTGCTGCTACTAGAGCAATCATTTTCAATGAGCCTTTTGAGCTTCCCTGAAGATGATAAAAATCTCACCTGAAAGATCCTTCATCACAACATAATGTCCAGATCTCTTTTGTGCCTTCTCTCCCACAGCAACAAGCCCTAGACAAAACATGAAGTTTGTAAATGTGATTCTCACCTTACTTATGAAAATTCAGAAATCATAAAGCATGACATGTATCAGTGGAGACAAAATATGGCGACATCATACAAATGCTTTTTCAGAAGTCTTTCAAACTTCCCTTTCATCCAGCATTTTTTTTCCCCCATGCTACACACATTTTTATGTGTGCTCCAGTAACATTCTTCACAACCAGCTAGTAGAAGACTTTGGGTAAACTTATGCAAGTCAGGAAAACATCTGGTTTTCTACATCTTCTTTGGAGAAACACTGAACAAGAAAACTTAAAGCCATCTTCTTGTTCACTATTAACATGCATTGTGCAACCCAAAAGCCATCCAATATCTTAATAGTTTGCCTTTAACATACCAGGCATGTGAACTATTTGTTAGACTATATCGAGTGCATCTAGCACATCCTTTTATCACATGAAATAGTAGCAACACTTAGAACACTGTGCTTTCTTTATTCAGGGGTATTCAAATATTTATATTTCATGTTCACACCCTAATTACAGCGATTTCAGTCACACTGGAATATGTAGTACCGGATAAACACGCAACTGGGCCCAGCAGGAGTATCCAGAGGACAAGTTTCAGTGGAAGCCACTGTGAAACACAGAAGCCAAACACTTCTGCTTTTGAAATCTCGCAAGAGCGAAGGATAAAGCAGAACAACTGTCAAAAATGTACCAAATACAATAACTATTCCATACTTACCAAGAGACTCAGGTTTCTTTCCATTCATTTTGCCCTTACCTTAAATACCTGTAACTGAACTAAATATGTGGTGAATGGTGGTTCAAAACTTCTCAAGACTTCATTCCTTCAGTACTACTTTGTTCCTTACCTCTCTGTTTCTGTTCCTTGCTTTGGTGAATAAAGACATGGAGATACTGCACTTGTTTCCAGTTCCTTCCTGTTCCTTCAGTTTTTTTTGGGTCTGTTTGTTTGTTTTTGTTTTTTGCTTATTGGTTTTACATGAAAAGAAAACCTTCCTCTCCTTACCAGATTTTCATCCCAATATTCATGCAGCTCTTCCATGGACTTCTCAGGTGGCATTAAGCCCTATACATGTTCTCACAATCTTTTTTTTCCCCACTCCTTACAGAAGCTGATATGAAAAACATCCAAACAGTTTCCCCCAGACAAAAAGCTCTTACTTCATTCATCTGCATTAATACTGCTTTTCCCTCCCTACACATCACCATCACGTTCTCCACATCTCGCCCCTCTCAGCTCGGGATGGATTCTCAGAAAGGCTGCAACAGACTCCAATTAGCTCTGCTATTTGCTTAGAGCTGGTGCACCAAGCTCCTTTAAACAGAGACAACAGCAACTTAGTGGATGACAGCAAAGCACAAGAAGGCTTCTGTTTCAATGCTGCCTCTCAGAGGATCACAGATGTGACTTGGTGTCCAGAAAAAACAAGGTCTAATGAAAAGCTATGGCACAGGCAGACCTTTTGGTTCATGTTTTAGTACAACCCACTGAATAGTTCCTCAGCAAACTGCTTGTTCCCATATCTAAAAACAATATTTTATTTTGGAGTTCTAAAACCATGGAGGTTTCTGCCCGCTTGTGTTTCGGATTGGCTGGGGTTTGGTTTTGGTTGTGTGCTTGCTGTTTTTTCATTTTGTTCTTAAACAAACTGGTCACTTACTAACAGACCTTGTATAAAAACTTCCACCTTCCAGTGGCATACATATACCAAGTGGTTTCTTCCAAAGCCTTTAAGAGTCTTTAAGCCTCCACACCGAACTTAAGATTTGACTTTCTATACATGTAAACATTAAAGAACACTTGTGTATGAAGAAGTTTTTCACCTAATTGTCTCAAATATATAATCACTGTTCAGCTACTCCTTTACAACACATGAAGCACTTGCTTCTCCATAATGCAAGCTGTCACTTACAACGTATACTTGGCCCAACATTAGTAAGTATTCTATATCAACACAACACATTCAGATTTTTTTTGTGAAAATAATAAAACACTTTGTCTATTAAAAACATATAAAAACATGTATGTATTAAACAGATAAAAATTAAGCAAAGCTCATCCATCACAAGGGTTAGCAGTATTTAAACAGATGAATCTACCACGTGCCAGAGACTGGGGTTCTTTTTTAGCTCCATCTCACTGCTTCCCAGTGTTACTGAGCAGACACCAAGCTCTCTATTACAGACTGCCCAGCACAACCCGGATCTGATCTTGCCCACACCTTGAAATTTCAATTGAAAATTCCACAAGCATTAAGGAAATTTCTATCTGAAACCACATGAAGACCCTGGTGTACACTTTCTAAAATGAGAAGCTTGAGCTGTAACAAAGCTGTGTAGCACTAAATTGTTTTAATTTATGAAACACTCACAGGTTGTGCAACAGTACTGCCTCTCTCCTGTGATGTGACACAATGCAAGCAATATAATTAGCAGCTAACTCTTCCCTCCTCATCACAAAAATCCACTGCCGCATTATGCAGGCTGCTTAAAAAATAATAATATTCAAATTGACTGTTCTCAATTTCTTCCCTCTGATATTCATAAAACTACACTGAAAGAACTCTTACCAGCACAAGACAGCACCTACAAAGACCAGAGCAACTGAGTAACAGTAACAGAAAGAACACTTTTCTAATACTTTCTTGATAATCACTGTCACCAGAGTATCTTTTCCCCCACTAAATGGAAAGGTTGCAAAGAAAAATAGCTGAAAAGCAAGTCTGCACATCATTCACATTAAACTGAAATGTACACATTACTGCGTCCTGCATTTTCAAACTGGTGCACTTGCTTATATAAAATCATAGTGTACTACTAGGTTTCAAGAATTTGAAAAACAATAGGTATTTTCCTGACTTAGGATTTCTCCCATTCTACCTTAATAATGAATGATGAAAACTGAATGATTTCATATTTTAACCACCGGTTTGATCAACTGGGCATGGCTATCTCTGAGATCTAGCATTTCCATAAATAAACTTCATGACAGTTGCACTTTTATGCTTTGTTTTCTTTAATTATGAGCATTAACTGAAGTCAGCACAACTCCATAATTCAAAGCATTTCATGCTTCAATATTAGTTGTGATCCACGTAATATGTTAAAGATCACCAGTTTGAGATTTTTTATTTTTCGTTTTCACTATTTTTAATACTGAGGAGATCAACTACAAGGATGATTTCTGCAGTCAATGTTAATTTGTTTACTTTGATAACATGCATAATTTAATAATTAAGCAATAAATTTCACATATATTACTTGAAGTTTTAAAATTTTCTGTAGGTATTTCGGACGGAAAGCTTTTCATAAACACCTCCTCCAAATACAGAAGTCATATGGAATATGCTGGCAAGATGGCCAACTGTCTAAATCATGTTGCCAGTTTAAGCAGCAGCTCACTGCCTGCAAGTAAAAGGCTTGTTCTCTTCTATCAGATGAAACAAGTACAACAGTTTTCCACCTGTGGCCGTGGACTTGATAAAGGAGAGGAAATAATGGACATTATAAAGGAGGAGAAATAAAAAATGAAACCAAGCAAGGAAACATCACTGCAATTGAGAAGAGGTAGCTCTAACACAATTAAATTAGGAGATGGAAAAGCAGTTAGATCAGATGACTAAGAAAGTAAACAACCCATCTGGCAGAGCTAAAAATCTGTGTGACACTCTCTTCATGCCAGGACTTCAGCTGTCACCATGGCTTAAAGACAATCATGCATTCCACCTTCTACCCTGCCCCATTTCTGCTTCAGCCACTTCCTCTAGGCCAACCACAAAGGCTTTTCAACCATTCATTTCCCCGTCCTTGCCTTTTCTGTATTTCCAACTGAAGTGTATCTCAGAACCACAGAGAAGCACTTTTTCAAGTGGAAGGCAATGGTTAAGGGAAGTTAATGAACTTCTCGAAGAGTTCATCAGCATAAGGACAGGACCTACAAAAGTAATCCAGGCCTTGAAAAACTAGTCATCATTCTGTACAGCTTCCCTGCAAAAATGTACGTAGAAGCTTAATATTTCAAGCTATTTTGCCTACCTTGCAAAGAAGTGTAAGCTTACACTGTCATAAAACACTTAAGGAAGTGCTTACCTTTTCGATCAGTCTTAAAGTCAACCATAATGGGCTCGACACTGCCTTCTTTGTTTTTTCCAAGCCCTTCTCCTTCTCTCCAGCCCATTTTTCTCATCAGCTGAGCTCCCATTCCTCCAGTTACAGGGGCTGCTCTTAAGAACTGATCCTATCCAGAAAAAGAGAAGTAAAACAAATCCTAAAGTTAGGACTGGGTTTTTAAAAAACAAGTGGGAGCTTCCAAAAACGTTTCTAACAACCTTTCACAGACTCAATTCAGAAAAATACACTTTAGCTTTATATACAGCTGTATAAACCAGAATTCACGCAGACACACAATACACAAATCAGTATTTTCAAAAAAGAACAACTTAAGAAAATTCTAACGCAATCCAAAAGTGGCAAGTGACCCATTTCCGACGTATGTACTTAATAAAACAATAACCGTTCAGTTTTAAACACACTACTTTGGTTCCAATGCATCTCTTCTCATCTTGTGAATGGAGGCAGTGTTTAACTGTTTAACTGGCAACAGTCGTGCCAAGTGTACCTATTTATTGAACAAAATACAAGCACATTTAGTAATGACATACAAATAGTGTTTACACGTATTTTAAATATTAAAAAATTCCCCATTTTCTTATACAGAAGTTGCACATTCAAGTTCTACTCTGAAAATCCACATGACACAGATACAGGTTTTTCTTTCCTCTTTTTTTTAAAAGGCAAAAAGGCGCTTAGCCACACAGTTTAGCAGCAGCAGTCGTCACATTCTTTCAAATCAAAATTAATACAATAGTCGTTAACTGTCGAAAGCTTATCAACAGAAATTTTAAAAATCTGTTTTGATGTAAAGAACTTTAAAAACTCCTTAAATGTTTACGTACCTAGGCCTCGATGGCCGCAGTGTTGTGAATAGTAGGGCTGGCATTGACCGTGGCAAGAAGGCAGCTACAAGGATTTGACCCTGAAACAAGTTTCCATATAGAGGGGTGAAAGTTCACAGGTTATTCTGTGAACTATCATCTCTCTTCTGCCCCACCCGCTGACCCAAGTAAGTAAGTCAATCATTTCCATCACAGCAAAAGATTGCTTGGCTTAAAATATACAAGTTTACACACTGGCACTGATAAGTCCATCAGGTATTTCTCATAGTAGGTTAGAGGATACAATGCCTAATATTTTCGTAGAATTTTCACTTACTTTCAAAGCAAATTAATAGAACCTTTTTTTTTTCCTTTAATTTTGAGTTGTGCTTGCAGAAGTAAGAATTTCTAAGATCTGGACAAAGATTGATTGAGTTCCTTGGCTTCAATTTGTATGTAAACAAAAACAGAAGTCTTACTTTTGCAGAGTCCAAGGATAATATATTTTAAAGGGGATTAGCTGTCCATTATTTGCAACTGACACACACTCACGATGCATGTGTGAAATCCCCACTATCCAATGGTGGTAGCAAGTTTAAGAAAAAAAAAAAAGACTAATTCCTGAAGACTGTGGTAAGACTTCTCCAAATATTCACCTATTGAACAGTGAAGTAAATTCCTATCGATCATGCAACTGGATGCTGCGTTTAATATCAAGGTGCTTTGGTGGAAGAGTAAAGAGGTTAAGCTCACCTCTCCCGTGAAATTATTTTTTTGACTGGTGCAGACCATGCAGTGTGTGCATACAGAGACAATCATTCCTTTGATACAGACTGCCTCAAGCTATACGCCTAGAATAGCTTTTACTTACTTCCATTTTCATCCTCCCCTCTCTTTTCCAGGAACCTCTCATAAGAAAAGGGCAACCATGCCGAGAATGATACAAACCCCAGTCAATGTCACCCTGGGTTCCGATTCCTCTTTTGTACCTGCTTTGCAATAATAGAATTTACAATATGAACATCTGTTTCATTACCACCAGTGTGTATTCAGTTCACAAGTGAAAGAGTGCAATTTCCCAATGAGGCTGCTCTAGATTTCTCAGCACCTCTTCCAAGGCACTAACTTGGGGGTCGGAGGTAGCGTACAAAGAAAACAACATAGTGCTCTTCAGAGTCAAAAATTAAATCCCCGAGCTCCTATGTTAGGAATTATCAGAGATCAACTAAATTCCAAATACTGGAAATAACCAGAGTTTTAAATTCTAAGATGTAGTTCATTAAAAAATAATAATTAAAAAAACTCTAAAAAACAAAACCACACCTGGCCTAGTGTTCCCAACTGATAATTTAAATAGGAATTTTTACATATGCTGATTCTTTAACATGCACAGCATAACCTAACAACAATTAGAAATGATTAAGTTTTGTTTCATTACAGAAGAGTCATCGTTGTGCATCATGTTGCTGGGCTAAACAACGTAATTCTAACCACAATATGAAGAGAGCAAAAAGAAGCCTACTTTGATTCAGGTTACTGATGAAACAGAGAAGGCTCTCAGCTGGGAAAAAAAGTTCTTCAAAAATTTATCTTTTAAATAATAAATATGAATCTCTAATGCCACCTGTACAATTATATTCCATGTACACCTTTTCTTTCTCACAATTTAATACAGACATACTTACTCATTCCATGGTTCAGTGGAGTATGAGTAATGGCATTTGAAAATGTAAATATACCAGAATGTTAATAAAAGTAGAGAAATAAGATCTTTTCAATTTTAAAACTGAAAGGATTTCTCCCACAGAGATACCTGATAGTGTGGTACCTCTGCAGCTCCATCCCAGAAGGAGGATATGAAGTTGAATAGCAGTACAACTAACCCCAAGTTTTTATGTACTTGGTTACTGTTGTCAGAATGAAATAATCATTCAGAAAATAACTATCTTTCTAATCCCAATTTTAGTAGAGCAGCATAAAAATGTGATGTCATTTTTTTCATATTTTGATCTCTGAATTCCATGAAGTCAGACAAATAAAGCACACTTCAATTCTGCCAGCAGATGGAGACAACTAATAAGCCAAATTCTTGTGTTGCTACCTTTTCTTTAAGAAGCAGGCTATGCAGTAAAACCTGATCATTTCAGAGTTTTTTCAGTAATTGTAAGTAAAAACTGCCTCTTTTTTAACTACCTTAGGGCAGTATACTGGGGGAGAGGGAGGAAATCAACATTATTTGCAAAATAAACCATGAATGTCTGAATTACCATGTAAGGCCTTTAAAAGAAAAAGGTGAAAAATGGTTTTACAGCTTTTTGATGAAAGACACTATAAGTTGAACAGTCACCATTATTTGACTGCAACATCTGTCTTTGAAAAAAACATAACAGAGCACTGAATCGAATAATCTATAAAAACAGCACTTGCAATGCTCAAAATATTACAGCCATGATTACCTGAGAGATCTTGATGAACATTAACAGCTGATTTTGTTTGAAAAGAAAATACCCTTCTCACAAAGCTGACACAGCACTAAAGCCCAAGCTCTCTGCCAGAAGGCAGGTCTCTCTCTTTTGAGCAATTCTTTATTAAACAAAACACAATACAGCCTTATAGGCTTTTAGTTGGACTGTTTCAGCTGTAGCTCATGAGATGTCTGTGAGATTACTCTAAGAATGACTCCACAGAACTTACAAGTACAATGCAAGTATACTTGGTGAAGCTTGCAATGTAGCTGAGGTTTCCGTGACACTGTGACATTTGCAACAGCAGCCACATTCCTTCTCTGACACAAGAGGGAGATGTGGCTCTGGGCAGCCTGGTCTGGTGGTTGGCGACCCTGCACATAGCAGGGGAGTTGAAACTAGATGGTGGTCCTTTTAACCCAGGCCATTCTGTGATCCTATGATATGTTCTTGAAGAATTCCTACAAATGCCTTGCAAAGACTACACACACAATCAGTCCTAGAAATCCTCTTCACAGCTTTTGCATACAACGAATAGAAACCAATCTGCGGTTGACTGAAAAAACATTTTTCTCTGACCAAGTGCAGAGGAAGCCAGTCCAATGTAACCAACACATGGTTGATCTGCCTTGCCATCTGGCCTTCAATTCCAAATAAAGCTCACTGTGTCACGCAAAGCACTAAGAACATCAAGGTTCTGATAGACTGCCTTGCTAGAAGAAGAACTTGGCAAGACACATGCCAGTCCTCGTGTGTGAATGATAATAAGATTTAGTTTTAACTCTATTGGTTGTGTTTTATTTGCCCTTTCACTAGACTGTGAAAGAAGGGAATAAAGGATTTGACTTTTCAGAACTTGGGACACAAAACACAGCACTCTAGCAGCCACTATGAAACTGTGTGGCATACCTTAGCACAACCAAATGAAACAAATCCCAAGCATTACACTGTGCATGTAAAATGTTATAAAAACCTCCTTTTGGAGAGCAAATTTAGGCTATTAGAATTCAGCTAGTAAATCCAGAAACAAGGGGTGAGACTGGAAAAGTCTGAGTAAGCACACCTTAAGAGAACTTGCCTGGAAAAATTCTGACCACTTCCACTAATTTGTCATCAGCACTGTGTATTTGTTAAAAAAAAATTAAAAATAAAAAAAACAAACAACCACCCCCGAAATAAGTTGTATTTGTGAACTGATTACACCAATGATGATGAACTGAAACAGAAATCACTTTTCAGAAGAAAAAGATAATACTGTTCATAACTGTTTGATGATACGAGAAACCTAACGATATATTATTCTTTTATGAATACTGCTCAGAATTCTATAAATAAACATCATGAATTAGTGCGTAACTTAAATAAACAAACCTTACTTCTAATTGGTGTGTCGCTCATTCAAACATGTCACATTAACCATTTCAATAACTAAGGCCCTCAAAATTTCGTTGAGGTAAAACTGAACTTTGCTGACGTTTTTGTTTGAGTACATATTACCTCTCCAGCGTCATTTTTAAAGGAAGTAATAATAAAAATAATAGAAAAAGAAATATGGTAAAACCCAGGAAATGCAAAGTGACAAAAGCACTTTTCAAACAAGTTCCCTAAGTACTTCAATTTTATTCCCCTCCTGACACTGCTCTTATGTTTTGCTCGTTCAGTCATTATCTCTGCTAAGCATAGTGTCTGTATATGTAGATAGATTTTCTATGTATATTGATACACAAACACCTAGCTGGCATGGGCTGCTTCTTCTAAACAGTGCATGTCCATGAGTCCTCTCACAGCAAGTGCTTATGGCTATCTCCTAAGAACAATGCCTTCAGTAAGCCACATGTTTAATCACAAACGTGCATTAATTTACACTTGCCACATAACTCAATAAATCTCATGGCCCTTCTGGCAGATGACGTTTACAAATACTTTTGTTTTCTAATGTTAAAAATACATTATTTTCTTAGGACAAAAAAAAAAAAGACAGTGAATAGAAGTCTAACTTCAAGTGTTACGTTGCATACTTAAGTAGGAACCAAGTTACATAATTTCAAGCGTCTAAGTGAAATACAACCTGTACTTTGCATTTCATGGTTGTATTCATGTCACTGAGAAAGATAACATGCATTCACAACTCATTATCCCTAATTCATTTTTTTTTTTCCTGTGAAATCACCCTATAACCAAAGGAAATGACTTCACAGTGAGTTAATCAAACCTAAGTTTTGCCAAGGTTTTCACTGGCCCCACCATTCCTAGAAACATTAAGAGACTTCTTTAGCCTGAGGTATTTTGTAAAGGGCGCATGGCTTTAACTACGTGTCATCCTATGGATATGATGGCAATGTGTGTGCAAATATGAAACCTAGAAAGAGCAGAAGTAGTCAAGCTGAGGAATGCCGAGCAGAAAGGAGGACTGTGTCCTCCTCATCTTCATCCAACAACTCTTCTTGTTTACAGTAGCAGCCTCCATTCTGACAAACCACACGACGCTTGCTAGGGAGGATGCCTACTACTGCAAACCACTACATTTTTACAGCTACTAGGAAGACAGAAGTGCTTCTGTTGGTTCATTCTTAATTCCAAATTCAATAAAACACCCCAGTATGCTTCTGCTCCTCACAGTAGTTATGTCCACCACAAACCAGACACCAGGCTCTTCTTTAATTTTCTCCTTATAAAGCTTTTTTTTTT